AAGAGCCCCCTCCCCTCCCTCCTCTCCCGTCCCAGTGCAGAATCACCGGATCAGCCACTGAACGGAACATTCCAGAACCATTCCCCCTCAGTACTTTGGCCTTGCTGGTTTTAGTTTTGATCCTGGAGATGTACAGGGATGAACCCCAGCTCCTCGTGCTCCCAGGTTTCTCACACGATCCCAGTATGAATATCAGATGACATTCCTGGGATGACACAAAGGTGTCCATCCTCCCCCTGAGCAGTCCCAGCCCAGTTTATTCCCAGTTTCCCCACAGAACTGCTGGATCCAYACAAAGAGCTGCAAACCCCAGCAGCCCAAGCAGCAGGAATTGTTCTGGATCAGCTCCTGGCTGGTGGGAAGAGCAATCCCAGGGGTGCAGGGAGGTGGAATGAACCGAGAGCCTCAATGCCARCCGCGGAGGGATCAGCCATGGGAACAAACCCATGGAATTTGTGCATCTCCACKGCTCTGAGCGAGCCCCAGTGATGTGTCTCAGCACGAAGTAATCAATTAATAACCACTAACGAGTCCCCAGTAAGGAGCTGTGTTTGGATCTGGATATTATTAGCACAATTAGTATTATTAACATCACCATTATTATTATTAAAGCTCTCACTGCCACTGGAGCCCCGAACTGAGGAATGCCAGGCTGGAATTGCAGCGGAAGGCACGGACAGCCCCACACTCTGGGGTTATTGCTGTCCCATCCCTGCTCCCAGCATTCCGGGGTGGTGGCCCTGTCCTGTCCCTCAGGCCACGTGAGGTGACCCCACCCCACCCAAAGCACCGCTCTGATGGTGAGGGATCCGAGCTGGAATGATGATCCAGCTGTGCCAGCCGAGGACATTCCTGATCCCAAACGGATCTGGGCACAACTCCTGGGCAAAGCAAGCAGAGGGAACAGGCTGGAAGAGCACCCTGGCATCCCCTGGGATCCAACCAGGCTGTACCAGCACATGGATCCTTCAGCTTCCATGGAATCAGCTCTGGGGTCCCAACAATGCCCAAAGGGAAGCCGATGTCCAGCACCACTCTAGCACCAATCCTTGGAAAATTAAGACTTGAATGAGTCTCCAGTCAGGACCTCAAAGCCACTGATCCCGTCTGAGAGTCCTGGCTGGGAGTGGGATTGATCCCTGAACACCAAGCAGGGGAAGCAAAGCACAAAGTGAGATTTTTTTTTTTTCCCTCCCAGTGCAATTAACTTTAGATTATTAATTTTAAATTATAYGGAGCGAGTGAAAACTTCCAGAACCACAGGCCTGTGCCATTGAATTCCCAAGGAATTGGGGCTGGGGGAAAGCCCAGCCCTGCCAGCAGCACACGAGTGGCCCACAGCCCCAGTAACCTCCAGTAYCCCAGTACCCTCCAGCACCCCATTTGCTGGGATTCACCCCCTGTTCCCTACAGCAGAGCCCATGTGGGCACACACAGGGATGTGTCCCTTTATCTCCTCCCTCCCAGCCCAGGGAAGGGCATTCCAGGAGCTCACAGACATGGCAGCACAAAAAGGATTTCTGTCAGATGGGAGGCACTCCTGCCCAGGGAAGGGCATTCCAGGAGCTCACAGACACAGCAGCACAGAAAGGATTTCTGTCAGATGGGAGATACTCCCACCCTGGGAATCCATCCCAAGGCAGCTGCTCAGCTCCYTGTGTGCCAACCCCAAAGGGAGGACTTGGCAGGGTTCCACCTGCCAGGGGGCTCCTGCTCAGCCCCTCCTGTGCCCCCCCAGCTCAGAGCCTGGCACCAGCATGGCATTCCCAGGAACGGGGACTCCAGGCTGGGCACACCCCATAACCCAAACCCCATAGCCCACATCCCATAGCCCATATCCCACAGCCCAGCTCCTTCACCTGGCCCTGCTCTCCCACCCCCCAGGGCTCCCCGTGGCCCCCTCCCTCTCCAATGCTGCCRTCACCATGTACAAAGTGCAAAAGTGTTGCTGTTCCTGCATCCATTAAAAATTTTTTAAAACAAGAACAAAAACAAACAGAAAAAGGATTTCCATCATCATTTGCAAATACATTAATTCAGTCTCCAAAAAGCCAGCAAACCTCCTGTCACCTCCTCGCGGGCCAACACGGACGTGGGCAGGAAAGGACCCTCTAACTAAGCCAGACCCTGCCCTGAAGGTGCCCACCATGTGCCCACGGAGATGCCCAGGACAGCGGCACTGCCCGGCTCCGGCCCCGCCAGCCCCACCCTGCTCCTCCCGGGGAAGCGGTGGCCCTGCTCCTCCTCTGTGAAATGTTTCTGGTAAGGCTTTATTGCTCTACAAAGCGGTGCAAAGGCTGCCCACCGAGGACAGCTCCGTCCAAAGGAACTTTGGTCACGCGGCCGCGGGGTCTGTGCGCTGCGCCCGCTGCGCCGCCGGACCTGCTACCTTCCCAAGAGAAGCTGAATACTGTGTGCAATAACACTGGGAAAACAGGACTGAACCCCAAATCCAGAACAAAAACCGGGGCGTGGGGAAGGGGACAACTCAAATCAGGCAGAAGGCTTGGGAAGAGCCCGTCATTCCCGTGAGGACTGAACTCAATGCTACATTTCGACAATGCCGAGTGTCTTTCCGAACGGATCGGTGCTGTTGGATCTGCGTGTCTGGTCCTGAACGCCAGCTCGCTCTCATCAATGCAGCATTTATTAAAAAATAAAATTAAAATGAAAAAAAAAAAAAATAATAATAAAGAATTGACAAAATTGCATCACCAGGGAGCAGCCTGGCCTGGCTCACACACGTCCCGGGGAGGTGGCGGCGGCATCAAGCGGGGCCGTTCAACGTGGCTTCAGTGCAGGGCAAGGCCTCGTCGTTCCTGCAGGGACACCAGGGAACAGGATTAGGGACATGGGAAAGCTCCCAAAGCTTCCTCCATCCCCCTTGGGAATGTGCCTTCCTGGTGGGAGCTCAGTCCCCCTCTCTGTTTTTTTTCCTCTGCTGGGTGATCTCAGCTCCCTACGGAGAAACTCCCAGTCCCTCAGTGAATATTGCCTGGAAAATCAGCATGGGATCAGGAATGGCCTGGGTGGGAAGGGACCCTGAGCCTGTCTGGTTCCATCCCCCTTCCAAGGCATTCAGAGGGATGGGGCATCTCTGCCACGAGCACAATCTGAGATGGGAATGTTCAGCCAGGGAGAGCTCAGAGCCCCTTTTGGGGCCTGAAGGGGCTCCAGGAGAGCTGCAGAGGGACTGGGGCCAAGGGCTGCAGGGACAGGACACAGGGAATGGCTTCCCAGTGCCAGAGGGCAGCCATGGATGGGATCTGGGCAAGGAATTGCTGCCTGGGAGGGTGGGGAGGGGCTGGGATGGAATTGCCAGAGAATTCCTGGATCCCTTTGAGTGCCCAAGGAAGGCCAGGCTGSACATTGGGACAGTGGGAGGTGACCCTGCCCATGGTGGCACTGGGTGGGCTTTGGGGTCCCTTCCACCCCATCCCATTTTGTCATTTTTTTTTGTGCTGGGATGGAATTGCCAGAGAATTCCTGGATCCCTTTGAGTGCCCAAGGAAGGCCAGGCTGGACACTGGGGCTGGGAGCAGCCTGGGACAGTGGGAGCTGTCCCTGCCATGGCAGGGGTGGCACTGGGTGGCACTGGGTGGCACTGGAGGGGCTCTGAGGTCCCTTCCCACCTCTCCACCCCACAATTCTGTAGTTCCCTGATGGAACAGCCCCTCTGGGAAGCTCAGACCGAGCAGGGCAGAGCTCCGGGGTGCTCCGGCCGCTCTCCATGGGCTGTGATCCCACAACCCCAACACASCCCAGCCCAGCAGCAAAGGTGGGGTGGCCTCACCTGTCTCTCGTGGCCGTGTCTGTGGCAGTTGTGACAGCAGTGGCCGCTCTCTGGTGTCCATCTGTGTGCGTGGCCGTGCTGCTCGGGGCTCGGGGGGCTCCGGACGTCGCCGATTCGGCCGCGGGAAGGGACCCCACGGAGTCGCTGTAGGAGAGGGCAGGGACACCTTAATGGAACTCAGTACACCAGAACACCAGGCTGACACTGGAATGGGGCTCAAATTCCAACGGGGAAAACAAAATTCCTCCTGTTCTGCTCACACAGGCCCACAGATCCCACCGGGAATGAGAACACTCCAGCGGGCATGTCCTGGAGGCTCCGKGTCCCACACCCACAGGACACACCACAACAGCTTCTGGAGGAAAGCATTCCCAATTCCTGCTGCAAAAACCGGCCTGGGAGCTCCCAAACTGCCATTCCCACTGTCATTTGCTGGAATGGCATAGCCTGTGCTGGTCAGACACGGACACTGCTCTGCTCCACAGGCTCTGAGGCTTCTGGGGCACCCAGAAAATCCTGGATTTAGGGGTAGATCCCAAAAACCCATGGATGAAAGAACTGGATGCGCTCCCAGGGCCATGGAGGCACCACCTGAGGGACAAGGACCCCACTGAGGGGCCAACCAGCAAAGCTCAAATCCTGGGAAAGGAGAAACTGCAGGAACAAACCCTCCAAACCTCCTGTTTGGATCRAACCCTCCCAGATTCCCAAATGGAGAAGGGATTTCTGTGCACATCCCCATTTTTTGGCTCCCAAGGAGAGGATGAGCTGCCCCAGGAATTATTTTCCTCCCAGAACAATTCCCTCTCCCTCGTTCCCAGAGCAAAGCTCCACAAAAGGGAGGGAAGCTGGAGATGGCTGAGCTGGAATCCTGTCACCRGCTCCGGGGGAGTTTCAATGGAATAAAATAATCCCAGCTGGATAATTGGACATGTGATGGAGATTGGAGACTGAGGTTCTATTTCTGGAGCTACTTCTCTTAGAAAAAAAACATTAAAATGGGGAATAATAAGATCCAAATATTTCACTTCCTTCAGAGCTCACAGGCTTTTAAAAAGTACAAAAATACACCTTGGAGAGATGCAGGGATGGAGGAGCCGGTGAGGAACGGAGCTGCATTCCCAGGAATGTCATTGGAAATCCACTTCCCACACAAAAAAACAGAGTTCAGCATTTCCATGGCTCAGAGAGAAACTTCTTAACCTCAACCTYTGAAGTTTCCAGGATTCTGGAGTTATCTGAGCACTGATGGGGGCTCGGGAATGTCTCTGCCCTCCCCAAACTCCTGGAAAATTCCAGCTGGGCCAGACCAAAAGGTGGCACACCCCAAACAAGGCTGGGCCATTCCCAGCACACAGAGTGCATTTATCAGAATTACTGCATTTATCAACATGAACTTATTGGTGAAAATTAATGCATTTATCAGAATCAATGTGCTCATCAGAATTAATGCATTCATCAGAATTAATGCATTCATCAGAATTAATGCGTTCATCAGAATTAATGCTTTTATCAAAATCCATGCATTTATCAGAATGAGCTGCCTCCAACCCACCAGACCCTGGGATAAATCCTGTCCCAATTCCCAGGAATTCTGCAAACCCAGTGGTCTCCCAGCCCCCTGGGCCCCCAGGAGCTGYTGCTGGCTGAGCACACTCAGGGATGACCCCAAACTGTCACCAACAACTGCTAGAGAGAAACTCCTGATCCTGAGTCAGGGACATAAATCCAGGGACTCTGGCAAAAACCAGGAGGAAATCCAAGGAACAATGTGAGGAAAAAAAATGGTAAAATTGAGTAAAACCTCTGTGGCTGCAGCAGATGCTGATGGTGCTGAGAAGCAGCTCCTTCTCAAGGACTGAAAAATGCAATTCCAACAAACTGCTGCCCAACCCCAGGATTGGCTCCAGCCTTTCCTGGTGGTTTTATCACGGATTGGCTTTGACCCCGAGGGGGAAACGAGAACCTGAGAGAGTTAAACCCTCCCCCTATGGCTGCAGGAGGATCCCATGGGAGGATCCTGCTTTTCAGAGCAATCCCACCCGGATCCCTGTCCTGGGTCTGAAT